GTCTGACCTGTGATTCACGGTGTTCTCCTGACCATGCGGATGACCTGTGATTCACGGTGTTCTCCTGACCTGTCCACTAAGCTGCCCAGAGCGGTCAGCATACCAGCCCTGACCCTGTACTGGACAAACGGCTGGAAGATGGACACATGGATCACACAAGTGTTCTTATCTTGTAAGGTACATCAAATATATAGCACTCAGCTCTGGTAGTTTTTTTTTTTTTTAGTAAAATGTAAGTTTTAAAGTGCTAATACATTTGACCAGCAAGAGAACAAAATGTAAATTGTCAGTTTAGTGAATTCAATCCTGGGCTTTTAAACTAGAATCAATTATAGACTGGAGTTGTTTGTTGAATTAAAACCAGAAAATGTATTCCTTAATAAAGGACAGCTCTATGAGTAATCTATATGGGCCATTTATGTTCACTTTTAGGCAATTTCAGGCTGTTATACTCAAGCAAGCTTTAAGCCAATCAATAAATAAAGCAGAACTAGAAAGCACTCCTGATCTGGGTAAGTGGGATGAATAGATGGATGGATGGATAATTACTTATGATGTTGGATGCAGGTTTGAATGTTTTCTATGCCATAATGCAACCCCCCACCCCACCCCCCGGTTTGGTCCATTAAAATAAACGTCTAAGGAATAACGAGTAACCAGCACATGGTCGATTGATCTTTATACTGATTAATTAACCATCCTCTGTGTACAAAGGGGACAATCTGTGAGAGGAACACAATCCATCTTCCAACTGCTCATACGTGAGAGTGTCCCATGTATGTGGGTCATGGGCATTGTAGGTGGATGGAGGACTGTCTTTGTGGATTGGAGAGAAACCCAAGCTACAAAGCGCAACCCTGGCAGCGGCGCCATCCACTGGGCAGTGAAAACAGTGACTGTGTGTAAATCCAAACTACTACACCATTAGCCCACTCTGTGGTGCAGCTGCTCTCTGTAGCCAACTGAACTGAGGTCCAATGTCTGGGTATCAAAGGGAGGAGCCTGATTACTTTCCTGTTGGTCGATTCTGCTGAATAGCAGCGTCACTCATGCGGCAGGGGTCATACGGATCTGTGGACACGCCTCAGCGGAAGCCCCCGACGACTCAGTGCCGGCGAGGAAATTATCGCCACGCTCTACATGGCCGACATTTTAAGCCAAGGGCGAGGCGATTCAGAAGATATCTACTGATAGGATAAAAGCTAATATGATATGATCAGAATGCATCCTCCAGCGTTCCATAATAAAAAGGGAGCTATGTGTGTCGATGCCTGAGAGAGACAGGCCAGGGAGAGGGGGAGAGGTGCTGAGTCGGTCTACCTGGGAAAGGAGATTAGTGTCTATCTGTCTTACCAGGTGAAATAGCAAAGTTGAACTGACAGTAGTAATAGAAATGTCACCCTCACTGAGACAGTATTTTCTTAAGAACTAGGGAGGACGACTGCTCTCTTACATCTTCATGATCTCCAGTGTCTGCAGTAGTTATTTCGATTCTTTGCTCAGCCCAACCCTCTAGGTGAGCAGGCTCAGGTAAAACAAGAGGCCCTTGAAACTTTATAACCTTATAACCAAAGATTTTTTTGGTTACACGTAAATAAAAGTTTATATGTAGAATCCACTGGATCTGTGTTACAGATCACAGTATATTATGAAAGCATTCAGTACAACTTCAGTGAACAGAGAGGAATGGCAGGAAAGCTTGTAGAGCATGAAAGCAGGCAGGAATCCTTGTGGATGTCCGGCCCATTAGGCCCAAACCGACTGAGGACACGTCACACGCCTGCTGTGAGCTCAACACCAGATACTGGGAATTCTGGGAATTCCGTAACTATCACCTTATGCTCCGTGTCCCATGGAAAAACCGAAGAACAATCCAAAGAAGATGGTCAAAAGCCATCCTGCGGATCACAGCCTCGAAGGCTGGGTTTCAGAAAGGATATTGGTGCCGTCATTGGCCTCCATGACGCCGTACTTCAAACAGGCCTCGATGAACAGAGCTGCGCGGTCGAAGTACCTCATGCTGCGGGGGTGCAATGCAGAGACGAGTAACGTAACACTGCAATAAGTCAACCAGCAGCTTTTTCTTTGTCCCCACACGCCCACCTTTTCCCACGAGTCTGTTCACCCCCATCTTCAAGGAGAACCTAATTCAGGAACACTTCTACACATTTCACTTGAGGCCCGCCATCAGCATTCATGGCACTCGGGGAGGCCCAGAGGTCCGCGGGCTCAGACGAGACTGGATCGATACGCTTTCAGATTACACAGCCCGGCCCAGCTGGTCCCCGCTGTCATTTCTATGCAAATGAGGCAAATGCAGCTTATCTGGGAATGGAGGCCGAAGGGGGGTGGGCTGGGTAGGGGGGGGCTTACCTGTGGAGCATCTCGCCAACTTTGTGGAAACAGCCCAGGGAGAGGAGCACTAGGATGGCTTTGGACTTCTGGTTCACCTGAGGGGAGCAGAGATGCTCCACCCAGCGCTTTAACACGTCGGAGGCCTCGGAGGGGTTCAGGCGTACCTGCAGACGCATGTCCACAGAGACGCCATTGAGGAGAGATGCCCAGCTGAAACTTCAATTTCTCACAAATATACAGCTTACGAAACTTTCTGCAGTCTGCTGGAGTAGGATTCCTCCTGGATTTAAAATGAGCGACTTTTGGGTTGTCGGTTCTTAACTGGTGCTCAACCCGCTGCCCCACGCGTCTGAGACAGACAGGGGCTGTCCACTGCTGACGTACCAGACACACAGCCACCATTAGACTCCAAGCAGGTGAAGTGATCACCAGTCTTACTGCTGATGACAGATACTGAAAGCCAGTAACAGGACAGCAATAGTTTGCTGTGAAACGACCTTTGTCAACAAGATTACTTTATAAAACAGCATGTTTTCTCTTCAAATACTGTAATATGACCTTCATGTTGGACCACTGTTCCCTGCTTGTCTTTAGGCAATTAGGATCCCACAGGGCTAAGTAAATTGCAAATGGATTCACAGCTAAAGGTTGTTAGAAATGTCAGGTAGGAGTTACCATTTATTTAAAAGAATATTGAGAATTGATATTTTAAACAATTCACAAACAGAAACCTGGGGAAGGATGAATAAAAAGCTGTTGCTAGGCAACTGAATTCTTTTAGCTAATGCCTAGGTCATGTAGCTACAGGCAGACAGTGGGATCTATAAATCCTGTCATAAGTAGACTAGCTACCAGCGAGACCATTACGTCACATAATTACTATGATGGTTTTGTGAATTGCTGCTGTTCTGGATGCTGTCCTTCCCCCTTTGGCTCTCCAGCTGCTCTGCGGTGAACTTCCTGATTAATTCCCGCTCCTGGGGACAATTTCCTTGGCCTATAAACTTGCACTAACCATACCCTAGCCCTAACCCTACCATACCCTAAAGCCATCATAC